ACCTTCATTTGACGTTTTCCGCTCGTTTTCTGCGCGCGAGATGGGTTTTTCCGCTCGTTTTACGCGCGGGAATGGTTTGTGAGTAGTCTACCGTCCATCCCACGACACCCCGTGTCATTGTACTGTCCGTTTACACACGAACCTTGTTCCGTCCAGTCAGGTTTTACCGTTCCAAAAAGTTACGACTCCCGGTTTCCGACAATTCCAAATCCAACTTTCAAAGTTCGCACTGTCTTCTCCCTTCCTTCGCTCACTTTGAATATCCACCCGATCAACCCATTGATTAATTGAACAGTGGGGAGGTCCTAATGGTGCTACTGTATTGATTTTGTGCTAAGGCATAACTTTTGGCTTCCACCTTTTTTCCGTGCCCACATCTATTTTGTTTTGATCTGGTTGTTCCTAATCACATGTGACCATTCCACAATCAGGATCGACAATTTAACATTGACGGATCGGATCGGAAAGACTCCATGTGGACTTTCTGCTCTACGAATCAATCGGCGCTTTCCTCATGTTCTCGAGAGGAGATGCATGTTTCTTTTTTCTCATGATGGAGGAGGCGTAGTCCTCGCAGGGCACATCGTTGTTGGGGGAATCCCCAATAGGGGGGGGGTCGTATTTGGTCGCCGGGAGGGGGTCGTAATTTGGGCTGAGAAAATTTATTTCGATAGTTACTTTCCTGCTTTCACGTTACGTTGTAAACAGAGGGGGTCGTACCTGCTCCTTGTCGGAAAGGAGGGGGTCGTATTTACCTTCTGGCCTTTCTAGGAGTGGTGGGAGTGGTGGTGTTGACTTTTCGTGATTTTCCTGTTTCATGCTAATCTATGTCCTCCTTTCAGCTCCGCCTCGAAGCAAAAATTTGTTTGGAAAGAGTAAAATGGAACTTTTTCAGGAAATTTTGGAAATAGTGGCAGGAAGCTGGGGAAAAGTAGGAGCGGGGGTCGATACACGGCTTCTTTCCTCCTTCAGCATGTGCTATTTACTTACCCCCTCCTCCCCCGCTCGAGGCTCGATTCCGATGAGGGCAGAAGCTCGGAGGGGGAGGGGAGTCGTACCAACCCTTAAAAAAAGGGGGTCGTGGACGGACTTCGACTAAAATCCCGCTAAATGTAATGGCGTTCCTCGACCTCGTACATGTCACATCCATGGAGACGCGGCAAATGGCAAAACTGCATATTCATATAGCTTATGGTGCAAGCTGCTCTATTTGCTGGACGTTGCAATTTGGACAATGTGTGCGTTTCTGGACGCTTTTTGCTTGGTGGGGGCATTGTTCGCTGGTCCCCATCGTTCACGCTGGTCATTCCCTTCATATCTCAAAGTATGATTATAAGTTTCCTCATATAGAAGGACTTCTGTAGGCCATCGGATTACCGTTCAGTGATCTATCCTACCCGACTGTCTTGGGCGGTACTCGCCCTGGGAGGGGCAATTTGTACTTCTGCTAGTTCCTTTTGCTAGTTCATGTTAACCAACAGGTATCATTTTGGTGATTTGTATACTCTTGTGAAGCTGCGAAACGGTAGGGTTACAAGAATTTACAAGTTTTCATAAGGTGGCCTATACAGGCTTCCCTGAGCACCTCTGGTTCCCCCCTCCCCTCCCTCCCCCCAACTAGCAGAGCTGAGCCGGAGTTTTAGTTATCTCGCGCTGTCGATTTCGGGTTTTCTTAGGTAGTTGAAGCATTAATTATTTGACGGCTAAATAGCGATAAGATAATGGTATCTGTGACGGTATCGATCCATATGAGTAAGACTATGTTTGCCGTTCTAAGCCGGTCCGTAACCGGAAATGGGTATTTTTATGGGTGCAACGAATCCTGGTCTTGGCGATGACGCGTTTACCTTTAAACATGAGTCATTCTATTCAATATCTGCCAGGCTACAATCGTCAAACTGATAACGAAGGCTTTTAACGAACACAATCACGAGGTCTCGCGCTCAGCGAGCTTTTGCCTCTCTTTTGGGCAAACCTAACGTCATCGGATAGCTTGGCTCCTGTGCGGTATCCCTCCTGGTCCTTGAAAGCCCACATGGCCCTCATCGTGTGGGCGGGTTGAGAACAGGTCCCACGGCGCCAGAGTCAGCCTTATCTAAGGGCGCGTGTCATGGAAAAATGCCCGTGACGTTGACACACGCATTTTCTGGCGCAGTTCGTCGTCTGCCAAAGATCAACAATGTGCTTCCCACCTACCGCCCCAATTATCTGATATGGCGCGGCCAGCAGGTCTTAAGCAATGTCTAAGACGTTTTTCGGTAGTACCGACAAGTGCTGCAGTCCTGACACGACTTCCTGCAGTCTACCATGCTGGGGGAGGGGGGCTCATCGACTTCTAGACTAATTTTTAACTCTCCCTATTTCCTTGTCTGGCACGTTGTACTCTGGAGGTTCCGTGCGAGGAGTGGGAGGGGGGGGGTCATATTTGCATTGAGAAGATTTCCGGTTTCGACTTTTCTAGGTTACTATTTATTATCCCAATAAGAAGGAATTTCAAGAGGGTTTCGTATTTTGGAAAACTTCCC